TTTTCATCATCTGTTTTATTATATTCTATATTAAAAAAAAAAAAAAAAAATTTCTCTTTCAACATCGCGGAACAAAATTTCTTTTTCAATATTTTCTTTATCTCCTCATCATCTATATCTCATCGTATTTACTAGAATCTCATCTCATCGTCACACTCTCGTAATTTCGAAAACGACCATCAACAACGTTTATTTGTATCCAAATATCCATTTCTTGCTAAATCCAATATCCTGTAACGCGCGCAATAAATCTAATCCTATAAATCCAATATTATTTCCCTCAAAGTCGAGGTTTGCACGCGGCAATAACAAACTTCACAGTTTAACACCGCGCGCGCGAGAAGGATCGAGAAATGATGATTTTTACGGGCACGTCCAGTGGAAATACGGCTAATGGAATCCACGATGCTATTCTATGGGATCTTGGAATCGGCATCGGGGTAAACACGTTTCGCTGGACCACTGTGTACACACGAGGAACGGCTACATCTCAGGATTGTGCGTAAATAAATTGTCCGTAACTCGCCTCTACAACGTCTACACCGGACCGATATTCGCCTATTATCCTTTCCGGTGTTTCCACGAAAGCCTTTCCTGCGATTTCAATGCGCGGATCTAGGCACCGAGAAATTCTTTATTGCCGTTTCGAAGTCATTAACTCTCCGTTACGCAAATCATTTATTATTTTCAGCGATTTTTTTTTATTTTTATCTTTTTTTTTTTTTAATCTTTTTTTATTTTTTTTTTTTTTTTTTCTCTTTTTTCTCTTTTTTTTTTTTCTTTTTTTTTTTTTAATCTTTTTTTATTTTTTTTTTTTTTTTTTTTCTTTTTTCCCTTTTTTTTTTTTCTTTTTTTTTTTTTAATCTTTTTTTATTTTTTTTTTTTATTTTTCTCTATTTTCTCATTTTTTATTTTCTATTTTTTTTTTTTATTTTTTTCGTCTTGCAGAGAGTGGCTCTCGAAGCCACGGGGGGATTGATTTACGATGGATTTGAAAGATTTTTAATTCGTTTCGCGATAAACGATATGGAAATGAAATAAATTCCTCGGATGATTGTTGTGAATATTTCGAGACGTAATCGAGGGAATACATCGAATCGGTGAAATATTATTAAAATTTATTAATTTTCAAAGTAATGGGGACTTCGAGGTAGAGATAATGTAAATTTCTTCGAGGAAAGATATGCGTATATCTAATAGAAATTTTATTTCTAATTTAAATATGACGTATTCAAATTCTGCTGATATCGTTGAATCTACATAATCTTATTAGTTAGCGGGACACAAATTGCAAATTTTTGAGTAAAGAAACGTTAGTCAAGAACGATCCCTTATTAACTTGAATACATTTATTTAACTACAAAGATAAAAAAAAACGATCTTTTAAAATGAAATGATCAGTGAACAAAGAAGAAGAAGAGGAAGAAGATGAAATATAATTTTATTTAAATGGCCAATATCTTTACATTTTATTACATTTCGAGCCATAAATAAACATATTATACAACGAAATTACGCGCAATAATAAACTTCCCTCTTCGTTTAAATACTCGGAAACACACCGTCCACTTTCGATCAATAATCTCTTAATCGAGTCGATCCGTCAAACGTATCTGAAACACACCTGTCCCTCGATACGTTCGATCTAATCCCGCCAACGCGTATCGTCCCACAATATAATACCAACAAGAGAAAATGTTCCCCGCGATGTGGACACACGGGGATCGGGCAGGAAACGCGGTTAATGGAACCTCTATTAATGTTCGACGTTGGATCTCTTCTTGCGAGACAGCCAGATATATATATATATATATATATGTGTACGGATAACGCATCTCGTGCGGGATAGGATCGTAGAGATTTTCCCTGAAACCCGTTTCCTGACCTCGTGTGCACAGGCTTGTATCCTACGACAATCCTGCCTACGCTCTCAGAGCATACCTCTGTCCTCGTTTTCGTGAGTGGACACCGCTTCCTCGATGCTTAACTAGGAGGAGGAGGAGGAGGAGGAGGAGGAACACCCTCGATCTCTTATCTGAAATGCTAACGCGATCCGGGCCCGATTCTCCTTACCAATTAGATCCGTTTGCACAACGGAGATATATATCGAGATTTTGTCGAGGATCGTTTCGTTTGAGATCGTATGAGCGATTGTGCGAAGTGAAGTTTGATTTTGATAACTTCAGATGATGGAGATAACGGTTGATTTAATTTTTTAGTTTTGTGTATGATGAAGTAATTGTTTATAGTTTTTAATCAAAAGAGAAAATTAATATAGAGGATGAATTTTGTAATCTTGTTGTTAATATTTCTTTTTTTTGTTTCAGTTTCTCGTGGGAGTGTAAAAAATGAAAAATTGAAAATTGTATCGAGGGAATGATTGGGCATTGGGTGTCTCTTATTATTCCAATAATTTTTTGAATAATTTCGACGAATTGCTATGGTTAACAGTTGAAGGGAATCTAAAATTCTGAAGGAAGAACCAATCGAGGACGTGCAAATGGCAATTGCCGACCGTTAAGACAGGTAATCGAGAATTTTATGACGAGCGTGAAATTTAGCAAGT